ACCAGAAAAGAAAAGCTTCTTAATAATTCCAACTTAAGTGGAAGCTACTCACCTAAGGAATCACAAAGGTATTGCTTTAAACATTGATCAAGTAAGAGCGTGTGTTTTGAAAGTAACTCTTACACTAACACATTATACAAGAAGGTGACGTGAAGATAGAAAGGTACAATATTAATCGGGGAATACTGCTGGATTTAAAACCAATTTTTTTCAGAGACCACACTTGAGAGAGAGAATTGATACTGAAATCTTGATAGTTTAGGCGTTGAAATGTTCAAATTTGTTTGATACGGAAATATATTTGAAACTTCAAAGTGCAATCACGGTAAATTTACCGCTGTTCTGACAAGTTTTCGCGGTAAATGCCTTTGTTACAAAATTTACAAAGGCAAATAAGAATATCACTAATGATTGAAAGAAAATGAAACGAGAGCGAACGAGACTATTTTTTTCTAGGAATTTGTTTTCATACATTGATCTTGGTCTTCCGTAAGAGTAATATTCCTGTCTTACTCAGCAAAATGTTGTGACTTTATATACGAACCTCCCAGAAAAGTCTATTACGTCACTTTGGTGACACGATGTCGAGGACTTTAAACTGACCAATAAGAGCACACTTTTTTGTATACATAAACGGCCGCCATCTTGGTAAACATACAGACAGGTGAAATGATGGAGGGATTTTGACAACTGGAAAACTTTCCCTGAAAACACTTGGTGGGAAATGAGCTTGGGAGAAATTGTCACCCTCAATGTTGGTGGAAGAAAGTATGTGTAATTCGCTGCAATTTTTTATTTTATTGTTGTTTTAAAATAGGCAAAGAACCTTTGGTAATGATAAGGGTTGTTACTTTGCGTGTTGCTATACGTCAAACTCCCTATTTTGCTTTAGAGTGGTACTTTTATGCGATAGAGACGAAACCGTTTTTGTACAAACAAAATTAACCATGAAATTATCAGTAATCAGTGGAAATTGAGCTCGTAAAGCTTCAAGCTGGTAGACAATTGGAATTGTACAGAAAAATATGAAATGTCTTTTTCAAAATAATTTCTCGATTGATAGGAGCTGAACTAATTTATGGAAGGTAAAGGTTACGTTCTAGGTTTTCCTAATTAATTTATTTCCTACCAGAAATTTGAAATCAAACCAATACTAGGCTAGTTTGTTTCCACGCTAACAGCCTGGAGTATAAGACCTGAATAAAGATAATTTTGAATTAACACTTACAATATTAGCCATCTTATTAATCCAAAGAACCTTTACTACCGTCTTCAGTTTACATATATAATTTTGGTGAATCGACTCGTCGCTGAGTGATTGTAATTTGTAATGATTATACTTTTTTTCATATTAATTCTGAAACATGTTGAACTTCTGCAGATTCTCGACTTCTAAGCAGACACTGACGTGGATTCCAGACTCATTTTTCTCTAGGTAATTGTTTAATTTCAATTAATGGGAAGAAGCCTCATTTATACAACTCCCACATTTAGATGACTATATTTTAAGTCCATGGTGGGATAATGGTCCTGCTAACTCTGCTTCATAGCTGTTTCCCTTCTTGGACCATCCATTTATAGGGAATTGGAAACTTAGAAGGTGTTGCTAAAATTAACCAACATGTCACAATGTTGTAATGTTGGCTTTATTACAGTGCCATAATTATGTATAAATGGAACTTTCTATTCATGACAAATATTTTTGACCATTTATAATAAAGAATTAACAATGAATAACATCAGTTATCACAAAACTGAATTTGAATTGTTGTTTGGTCATTTTGTAATATTGTAAGCTGCTAGTTCCAGATGTTGACCATTCATTATTTTTCTTTTTAGTTTACTAAGTGGGCGAATTTCATCTCTAAGAGATGAAACAGGAGCGGTAAGTGCTGTGGCCTTGCAATTGTAATTTCAACAATCAAAATCCTAATCATTGTGGAGATGCCAACCATACCATTTGCTAGGACTCTGCTCAATGTCAACCTACAACATAAATAACTTTAAACAATTGACTCACTGGGAATGTGGTTTATAAATTTGGAACACACTGCTCATGTCACACACTGTGACTATTTTTATATGTCCACAAACAAACCAGATCAAAATCAAAGATATAACTTTGTCAATTGATTGAAACTGACCAATTGTAGCTGACATACTTTATGAGTCTTCTTACCTATAACATTTAGAATAGTCTCTCCTATCAGTGCTCAGGAGTTACTATTTAAACACTTGACTGGACCATCATATTACCAAGTTAACTGTTACTCTCAGCTGAGTCCAAACCATGTACTGTGCTACTAAACAAATTGCCAGCTACATTTCTTTAATCATATGATACTTGAAACTTCTCTTCATTCCCACCATTTGTCTATCTGTCTTACAGTGTTAGAGCTCATGAAAGGTCCATACTAATTATTGTTACTCTTTCAAAAATAGATATTTATTGACAGAGATCCAGAAGCCTTTGTTCCCATATTGAATTTTCTAAGAACCAAAGAACTTGATGCAAGGTATTGTATTTTCAATACAATTTCATTCGTTATGTCCATGTAAGATCTGGGAAACAAACCCCATTTGCACAAAAAATAATTTAAAAAATGTATCAAATGTAGAAGAAGAAAGTAAGTGTTTTGGAAAGTTTTCTCATGTTGAACCATTTTTGTTTTTATTTCATGCTGTGAAATATCAGTAGTGGATTTCAGAGTTGAAGCTCTGGGTTTAACTTTGTTTATGATTTGCAGATCTTCTTTGACAGAACTAGCTGATTGTCTAAAATAATGGACTCTGCCATTCTTGTTGAAAATAATTAATAAAAATTGTAGAAAGAAATGGTTTATATTACTTGAAAATTAACCTGTGAAGCATTTAAAAACAAACAAATATATTAAACTAAATATTTTTTGCTTTACAGAGGGTTAGACTTAAGGGTAATCAAACATGAAGCTGAGTTTTATGGGATCACTCCTCTTGGTAAGATTGAATAAATTAATGACATTTCAACCATAGACTGGGTTAAATAATTTGTTAAATCATCCAACAATGAGGTTAATCAATTAGACTTGAAAGGTAAAAATTTATCCTTGATATTATTTATGGTTTATATACATACCAAGTAGAATTAAAAGATTGTGTTCTTAGAATGATCTCCGGCGACCTGAGGTCTGCGGTCAAAGAATCTGAGCTTTTATCAATAACACAAACTTTCATAAGTCATGTAAAGAAAAGTTTAATTAAAGTAGGTCACCCATGGCATCTAGGCTCTGCCAGAGCATGGGCTTGAATTGTATGTTTTACACCAAGTGATGCAAGATACAACTTTTGAATTCATTTTCATTTGGTTCATTTGTTTTGCAGCCAAGAGGCTAGCCTTATGTGAAGAGGTATCCAATTCCAAATGTGGCAATGTGTTGTTCCATGGATATCTCAACACTCCAGGTAATGGGATTGTCAATTAATTCCCTGGGTTCCCACCAAAAAATATCTGGCATATGGTCAAGCTATAAACCAGAGAAATTACTTGCTGACAAATTGGTACAATAATATATGATCTGGGAATACATATTTTGGGAATGTATAATATCTGGTGTTCACAGCTCTCTGAGTTTGACAGTAGATTTATAACAGTGGGACTGTAAGCCATTCTGAAAATTATATGTATTCTAAACCTTTTGTTTTTGTTGCATGAAGTTTGCAAAGAGTTCCAGCTGGGTGGCTTCCACTAATTTTTTGTTGTAAAATTACAAAAAGTAAACTTTTTATGTTTATTGCATTTGCAATAATTTGTAAGGAGGTTGTTTGTAACAAGCACTGTAAGACACTGTGAGAGCAAATTACAGGCAGTGTGTGAATTATGCTGCATTTCCTTGTGCTATATTTGGTACTTCTTCAGTATTTTTGCAGTGAAGGCCTCATTACTGACAATAGTAGGAAAGATGGAGTACCAATAACTTGGCAGAAATAAAAAAAATACAAGCATATACTAAGATAACACATCATGAAAATAAGAGTTTAAAACAAGTGTTTCCATACTTGTGCAGTTCAGATGAAAAGTGTTTTCACATTTTAAACAATATACTTTTCAGAGTTTCCAGCTCCTCCTGTGTCAAGGCACTCATCATCAGCTGCCCTCACAAGGAGAAGCTCTACATCAACTGTAATAAGCACCTCTCGTTATGAACCTGACACTGCAAGCTACCGAGATGTTGGTGTCAGAGAAGTCCCTGATGATAATGAAGGTGCTGTTGTTATGGGTGAGTGTCTTTTTAAATAGGAAGGTTGTTACAACAGACTGCTGATGAGCTTTGCCAGGCATTATTGAAATGATGGCGTTAATGATTGTCAGTGTTTTGTTTTACAAAGTCATGTATTTATGATTCCCTCCACAGATGTAGACCCAAGGAAAGTGTTGATGGTGATAGGACACCACAGTTTTGTTGCTGTAGCTTTTGCACATTCTGTTTTTTGTTACCGGTGAGTGGCTTGAAGGTTCCTTCTCATGTTGTCAAAAGGTTGCTCTTTGCTTTACTAATTGTGCCTCTGTTTTTTTGTTTCTTTGTTTTAGATCCAAAGACTCGGTTGGCTGGGAGCTTATTTTCTCTACTCCTTATCTGCATAACACTGTGGAAAGAATGGCTTTGAATGCAAAGGTGTCATCCAGTTCTTTTGGAGACAAAATGCTAGCAGTTTCATCAGGTTGGTTTATTAAAACTTTTTAAGGGTGTTGAGGAACACATAATCTACTCAACATTACCTCAAGATAAGGGAAGATTTAACATATTTATAACAAGCAGGGACAAAGAAAAACCTGAGTCTCCTGTGGGTTTCTAACCTCACCTAATTGTACTGGATACTCTACCAACTGAGTTAAGTGTAATAGGCACACTTTCATGAGACCTCACAGGTTTGATGAGAGCGTAAGTGTTTTGAACTGACCTAGTTTTAAGTTGTATAACTGGAACCAACTAACTTTGTTTTTCAGAGGGTAGAATTCGGTTATGGAGCTTTAACACAACTGACCACATTCAAGATGTTGTGAAATTTGAAATTGGTGAGTTGTTCATTGCATCTTGTGGTTGCTTTTACAGTGCATTTATATCAATGAAAAGGTCTTTGTGGCTGTTCATAATAAATGTGATTGTTTTTTCCAGGCTGTGGCATAGTCCAGCATTTCAGATAAAAAAAATTCCATCTGTTAAAAGGTCATCGTAATAACAGCTATAATTGTTGTAAATTTGACACTCTGGTTAAAGCAATATAAGAAATATGGTTTTGCTTTCTGTTGGGGACAGGAACCTTTGATCTTGGTGTCACTGTAGATGCTCTGTTTTTCATTGGAAGCCAACTTGTAGCCACAAGCCACACAGGAAAAATTGGGGTGTGGAATTCAATGACACAGCATTGGCAGGTATGAAACAATATATGATCATAACAGGGTAATTTAGTTGATGACGTAAATTGACCACCGTAGACCACCGTAGGGTTTAAAAGCTGACGTTTTGGCGAATTGGTTATTGGCAATCACTCTGATGAAGGGCTAACGCTCGAGAAGTCAGCTTTTTAACTCTTTACGGCGGCTACGTTATCAACTCGGTTGATGATAGTAAATTACCCAGTTAAACTATCCCACCGACGCAGCATCACAGTTTCCATAGAAACACACCCCCTTTATTCATATGATCGTGTCAGCTTCTTAGATACTGTGATACTATATCCTTCTCTGTAGTAGTATTCCTGCATCTTCTTGAACTCTTTTGTAACGATTTTTATCCTTACTGTCTTTGTTTAGATCCAAGAAGTGACACCGATTTCCAGTTATGACACCGCTGGTTCCTTCCTTCTTCTTGGCTGTACAAATGGCTCTATTTATTACATTGGTACGTTGGGAGTTATTTCACTTGGTCGCAAGCACTTTTACAACTCCAACTAAACTCTGACTTCGTCTTTAGTGGAATACAGCCATATAAAACAAGAAGAAATACTGATCAACAATTTTTTTCCCGAATTCGTTTACAAATCCAACTCGGTATTACCAACATTAACCTCATACAAGAATAGGGAGCCATAGATGCGCGGAGCACATGGTTGCATCCATTAACTCGTTTCGTTCTCCCTTATCTTAGGCAATATGTTGTTTGCTTCACAGATATGCAAAAGTTTCCACTGAGAATGAAGGATAACGACCTTCTGGTTACAGAGCTGTATAAAGATCCTAATGAAGACATGGTGACTGCACTCAGTGTGTATTTAACACCCAAGACATGTGAGTGAATATCCATGAGATTTGTCCTGGAGCCTTGTGTCTGCAAATAGAAATATAGGACAAAGTCCTGTTTTTTTTTACTTTTTTTGTTAAAAATTAACTCAAAATAGTTGTTACCAACTGAAAATCTTTGCTTCATATCGTTTGTGTGTCAGGTTTAAGTGGTAACTGGATTGAGATCGCATACGGTACAAGCTCGGGAACGGTACGAGTGATCGTTCAACATCCCGAGACAGTAGGCCACGGACCACAGCTCTTCCAGACATTCATGGTACATCGGAACCCAGTTATAAAAGTCATGCTAAGTGAGAAAAACCTTGTCTCCATTTGCTCCGAGTATAACCACGTGCGCTCGTGGAACGTGACGCGTTTTCGGGGCATGATCTCCACGCAACCAGGTTCCACGCCCCTCGCATCTTTTAACGTAGTTTCTCTCGAGGCGCAGGACGCTCATCCAAGTTCCTTAGCTGGTAATGGCATCGGTGAGTGGGAATCTCATCACCTGAATTTTCGTCTGCCATGTTTTTGTGAAAGATGGTTTCTAAAGTCGGTTTTTTTTACGAGTTTTTCTCGCAAAAATTACATTTTTTTCTCTTTTTTGTTTCTAGGCCCCTTCGGCGAGCGTGATGATCAACAAGTGTTCATTCAGAAGCTCGTACCTGACACCGATCACGTGATTGTGCGTTTCTCCTCCACAGGAAAAAGGTAACAAATCTGAGTTGAAATCTATAAATCAATCTAAGCACACCTCCTCCCTACTCATGGTGCCATATCACGCCAGATTTGAAATATTAAACCAGGTGGTCTTTGTACTTTCAAGGAATGAGCTCAGGTAAAGTGATGTTGTCGCTTGAAGTTTCTTGTGTGAAAAAGAACAATCATTTGAAAATTGCCTCGGAACACACGATATTAACAAGAGTATCCAGGCTACTGGCTGAGTGGAAAATAAAAACTTGAAAAATGAAAAATTGTAATCCAAAGGTGATTAGCGTCAATCCAGGGTTAGCCAAGCATGCTCTCCCTTTTTTTTGTGGCTAGAAGTTGAAATTAGGAATTTTACACTAACTCTGATTTCGCTTATTGAAACAACCTGACCCAGAATCGTCAACTCTGGATGGTACTGTCAGTTAAGAAACAACTAGGCTGAGACCCACAGGATAAAAATAGCGTACTTTGAGGAGGTTTTATTTATGCGGTTGTTTTTGTTTTACAGGGTCTGTACGATACGTTCAGTGGACGGCAGCAACATCACTTCATATTGTGTACATGAATGTGATGCTTCTAGTCGAATGGGATCCAGACCCCGGCGGTTCCTGATAACGGGACATTCGAACGGATGTATACAAGTAAGAAATTATGAAATAAATGCAGAGTGATTCTTCGCTGTGCTTAAATGGGTTTGAAATCATAACAAAGGATATTTCATCGGGTTATCTCGAGGAATAATGGATAACGTAACAAGAGCTTAAACCAAGACATGTTCGAACTTTTGACTTTGGCTTAGAGGATGTTTTGAACAGGAACCAACGGCAGGGGAATGGAGTGTTAAAGGAAAAAAAGGCTAAAAAGTTTTGACGCTCAGAAAAACGTTGAAGAAATATAGTATCCCCGGATCTTTTAGAAATTTATTTTCATATTCATTGTTTCTTACTTAAACCACTTTGCTTAGAGAATATTTCGAATGGCCAGTTCCCTGACGTTGCTGTGAAACCGGGTAATCTTAGCTGAGATTTACGGAAATATTCGAGGAAATTAGATTAATGCGATCTATTTTTGCGATGATTTAGATGTGGGACTTGACAACTGCTTTAGAAATTGCAACCAAAACCACAGGAGAAAACTCAGGTGAGCGATTCTAATAAGGGACCAGAAAATCTTAGTTAATAAAACTTTTTTTTTGAGAATATCTTTGGTATGAGGACACAAACTTAAGACCTCTTAAGGGATTCGAACATAAAATATGCACTCACAGCTAGGACATATTCAGAGTTGCCAAGTATCATTTGTTCGCTCTACTGAACCAACATAGAGCATTAAAACTGCGCGTAACTTATTTTGTTACAATCGTTTTTCACAGCCGAACGCGACGATATTGGTAATGTCACGCAAGGCGAACTTTTAAGAACATTAGAGCAATGTGACCTCAGTGCGTCACGCTGTACCACTCCCTCCATGTCGCCTGCCACGTCACTGCTGCACACAAATCTCACGGGCTCACGACTAAAGCTTTCTTACTCATGGCCCAGTTTGGGCGAAGATGACCGCGAGGAGGCTGGAGGCAGTGGTGGAAAGTCCAAGTACGGAATTCTAGTGTCGCAATGTTAAAATGTTGGATGTATTGAAAACACCTTACAAATAATTGGGAATATTAACATAATTTACAGCCAGAACAGGCTCTAAACATAAAGTACGGAATATTTGAACCTGACACCTTTGTATTCGATTTTTTTTTCAATGGCAAGACGCTGAATTCATTAATTGTTCAAAGACTCAAACACGATTGGAATAAAATTTTCCCTTTCCTCGGTTACCGCTTCGGTTATCGCTCAATTGGTCGTCGTCCCCGTGCTTAAAAGAATCCGTCAATTCTTAGTTAAATGGCATGAAAGAGGTAAGCAGTGAGGCAAGCAGTGAGGCAATCGACCTTGATCACACCCTGATCACACCGAAGTTAAGTTTTGTTTGTGGGAATCTGACTTTACTTATTGCTGTCACCCCTACTAATTCTCGCGTTAGCAAAAATCACTTTCCATGTAGTTGACTACCATGTCAACCAAAACCTTGTTTTAAATGCGAAGGAATAATATTCCACGACTGGCTTTCTGTTTCGACAACTAACGCCAGTAACTCTCTTGGACATATTTGAAAATTTCCATCACTAATGAAAAGGTTATGTTTCACACTTTAACTCCCAAGATCTGATAAGTAATCTCCTTCCAAGTGTGATAGTGTTGTCAATTTGGTGTTTTATCAAGATTACACCCTCTAATTGATGAGTTTGTGTCTTCTCATGACTCATTCGCAGGAGTATGTATTGATTGAAAAAGAATTTAAATGCCAATCACAATCACATCTGGGAGTTGAAGGGTTGAGATTAAGTTCAACGTCTCATTTTTTGTTGTCGCGACAGTTGCAACTGATTTATAATTCATAGATTGTTGTTTCGGATTTTACATTTTGGAGTTGAAATTCCGTAAATTGTTAGTAAATGACACAGAGCCGGCGTGGCATGGCACGGGGTTTTCCAGGGCGTTTTCTTCAACCAACAAGTCACGTTCACTTCGAACAACTGGCATTTACAGAAAAAAGTTGTGAAACTTAATGAAGCCAGTTTGACTTAAGGATAACTTTATTTAAATACTGACTTTCTGATTGGTTTGGTTTCCCATCGCAGAAATTGTTAATTTATTGAAATAAAAATGTGCGATGAACTTAATGAGTAGTTTTTCTTGTGATTTTACGTACGAAACCTGGCAATTCTCCTGAACTCAAGACTTAAAAAGTCAGTTCAATTACAGGGACATCCACGTTTAAAAGTAACACAATTCGCTGCTAAAATGAGTTCCGAGTAGTAAAATGTTTTTTCACGTCTGGACGAATCCTCCTTCAGACAACTTCCTTTGGGTGAGCGGTGACGACAAATTGATAATTAACACGAGGAAGTTTAGCACTGATATCACAGAGAATCACCATTTGGAAGGTCTGTCATACCAGTGATGACGTCAAAAACGGGCGGAGGATTGGAAGCAGCCAACCTAAATGTCAATAAACAAAACAAAAACAAATGAAACAATTGTTTGTTGAGAGTAAATTAACACTGTACTTAAAAATCGATAGTTAAAAAAACAGTTTGGTTAAATTGGAGATGGTATAGAACTTGATTTTGATTTAAAAGCAGCAAAACTTCGTTCAACGGCCTAGGGTTTCAATAATGTGTGGTTTACCTAATCATTCTGTTGTGGCTAAGAACTTTCTTGGGGCCTGGGTTCGGCCGAGCAGCTGGTGGGCGTGGCAAGCATGGATATTGCTGTAACTGCTTCTGTAGGCGAACCTTCTCTTCGGAAAGTTTCTGACTTAAGACTTTCATTTGTCTGTTATACTCCTCTCTTGAAACAGCTGGACCTCTAACTGCTTCGCCAGCTGTTTTTCTCTCCTGTCTTTCCACTTCTTGTGTCCTGTCGTACTCTCTTTTCAAGTCAACATGAATAGTTTTCTCGTCAGAAGAGCGTGCACCTGCAGTATAGGAACGTCCTTGGTCAGCAGCACTGTTAAACCAAGCCACGTGACTATGACTGCCGTCAAGCTGTTGGTCGTGGTTGACAAACGTTTCGAACGTGGCGTTCGCACTTGCATGTCGGTCATGTGGTCTGTGAGCAGATCGTGGAGCTTTCCCGTCAGGATGTGACCACGGATTGGTGGAGTCGTCACGGACACTGATGAACTCATCTACATTGAGAGCGGAGGTAACTTCAACCTCGTGATTGAAGTCCATCTTTTTAAACAATTCGTCCCAGTTACTTCCACTGCGGCCAGAAGTGTTGTGTGCAGAATACTGTCGCGCAGCCTGTCGTTTGGCCAACCGCTGAAGAGCAGAGGTGACTGCATGCTCATCAGCAACACTGGGACCTTTAGTAATGAATTAAATTCATTTCCGTTTAAGATGGTAACTAAGCGAAGTATTAAATTACCTATTACCAAACGGAATTTGTGTTGGGGAAAGCCACAGAAAAATGAATTCTCCCGTTGATCTATTATTAAATGGTTTATATTTGAGCGACGGCAAAAAATATATATAAAAAGGTTTTTTTACGCATGCATCATCGCAAGAACTGAGCTGAATTTTTCTAAACTGGGGACAAATTTACTCAACGAAAATATATCACGCCAAAAGTTCTTGTCTTGGAAGTTTTGTTTCAATTTAGTAACTTAAAATCAATCAAGTTTTATCAAACCTTTGGGCTCATTGTCTGATCCTTGACTGAGGCGTCGGACTGGTGCCGAGGAAACGCGACTCCGCTGGACACTGTGAGTATGAGCTGTAAACACGTTGAACAAAAGCATGTTACAATAGCACGTGTTCGATATATCAAGACAAGAGCTACGGAGACTGATTCAAGTTCAATAGATCAAAAAATAAGAGATCACTTTTCTTGAGAAGTTTGGCAGTAAACCTCGCCTTCGTGTACTCGATCCAGACCTCTAGGTTCGCTTGCAAGAGATCTTTACCTGGCACAAAAACTTAATTTTCTCCGAGCTTTAAAAGTCCTGAGTAATCAGTTACGCAAACAGTTAAGAAAACACTTGGGTAAGGTTATTAAGAGAGAGATCTCATCTTGGCAAGTCACATGATCTCTTACCTCCAACCAAGCTCCTAGGGTCACTAGAGTCTTCATCTGTTTTCGTGAAACGTGAGTATGGCTTGGCTGACACAGGACGACCAACCTGATTTATTCTATCAGCTCCTGGTGAAAAATGTGTGAATAAGTTAACACGTCAGCCTGTCTAAAAGTTGGGTAACAGAAGTCTTAAGTTCTACTAAACCTGTTGTGGCGAACTGAGTTAAATTTTCGGAATCTGGTTACTAGCTAATAGGAGACAGCCTATGTCATAAGTATGTCGGGTCGAGTCTCCAGCAAAAGAAGAATTATAAGACACACAAATCAATTCATCACTTGAATCTTATCACAGAAACATTTTCACCCTAAAACATGAAAAATTCAAAAATTCTGGCCTACCACTTTCAACCCACCTGGTGAACCTGCAACCTTGGCCGACATTGGCCTATGTCGGGTCTTGTTAAGGGCCACCGAGGTGCCATACGCTGAAACAGCTGTTAGCGCCCGTGCGTGTCGATCTGTGACCATGGGTCCCGTGCTACTGAGGTCCTCTGTGGGCCTGATGAAGTCCCCATCCGGGGTGGGATTTGAGCTGTAGAAACATGCAGAGAGAAATTAACTCAATCCTTAGACAAAGATTAGTTCCTTAGTTGTGACGCGTGAAAAAACAGCTACAATCACTGAACTGGGAGCTTCTGACACCAACGAAACAACAAATCGCCATATTTACCTCCTGGAGTACCTGTCTCCTTCTTTTCTCCTGTGCAGACCAGAGTCGTTTGAAGGTGCCCTAATTGAACTCTCCTCCGAGCTCCTCTCTGGCCGGCCTCCTAGAAACACGCTGGCGTTTTTGTTCAATTTGGTATACGTAGTTAAAAGATCTTCCAACTCTGTCTCGCTGTAGAAATGGAGCAATCAAGTTTTTTCACATTTTTTCCTCGTAGTTAGAATCTTCAGATCTCTTTCAGTAGGCATCCTTACCTTGCAATTGCCATAAAGACCTTGAACTCTTCATCCGGGATTTCACCGGTGAAGGAGTTGCTTCTTGATAGCCCATACGTGCGGTTGATTTCTAGTCGCTTTTGAAATTGCATGGTCTCCTGTTGACAAATATCATTTCAAAAGCTGTAAAATATAGACAAGATTGTACTTTCAATTTCTGTAAGGTTACTGTACATTTTCTGGTTCTTGGGAATGGGTGTCATATCACACACCGCTCTAGGTATGATCAGAAGCCTGTAACCTAGCTAGTTTAGATGAATAGATAATGAAAGGAGAAAACAGGATTTGATAGAAAAAAAAGAGAAACAAAACGAGGATGGTGATAAGACGTACGAGTCCTAACGTATTTCCATATTAAGTAAAGAGAAGTAAACCTTTCCATAGACGCGGACGAAGTCCCCGAGCTGTTTAGCCAAAATTCTCCGCCTGAAAGAAAAGCAAAAGCGCATGAACACACTTCTTCCTTGGACAACAGATGCAAAACGTTCTCCGCACTGAAAAATTCACATTATCAGCTCACCAGCTGAAGACTTAACCAAGCCTTAGCTGACTTGAGTTTTGTATTTCGAAAAAGGTTAACCTTCACAGACGAGTCTTAACTACCTGGTACCTACATAAGTGGATCGCTTGGCGCAACAACAAGCCGCTGTTCAGGAAATGAGCCCGAGCTCATCCCACGACAGCACATTCGGAGAAGAATAAAAACTGAACTTGAGAGAGCGGGTCGATTATCTAACAGTCAAAAATGTTAAATAAAGTGGTGTGCTGAAATTTTGACGACGACTGGCCTTCTAATCAGCCTTTGGCTTCAACTCGTTCATTTGAAACTAACTGAATTTCCTCTAAAAAGACGATCGTTTTTTCTTCAAAATTTTCCCAAGATAATCATCGGTCCACGCGGTATCTCACCTGTCATGTAACGGTAACTTGTGGCTCGGTACAACAACTTTGAAAGGTTGTTGTAAATTACTCGCAGCCTTCTTCAGGAAACGAATCACCAAGTTCTGAAAATAACAATATGAAATGAAAGAGATTCTCCTATTCTCAGTCTCTGCACAACATAAAAGGGAAGCTGTGTAGTGATATCGAAGGGAAAAAAAGGAAAGAAGTAAGCTGGACGTTCTTTTTGTGTTGTAATACCGCTGCAAAATTTTAGTTTTTATTGAGACATTCAATGTAAACTGCACAAA